TACATGACAAAAGGCTCAGGTAATCCTTCGAGTAGAAGATTCATCCCTGCAATGTTTAGAATCAAACGAGAGTTACGCAACAAAGCCACATCTGAGATTATTTAATCCAAATGCAAGTGACTTAGCACTTTCGATCAACAAGCTACTCCACATATACGAATCATCAAATCACTACTTTTTTCCCGAAACATCATATAGTCTCTTATCTACTTTCCAAATGACCCGAGACCTCCCTGGTCCCAACTTATCTGTAACTATCTAGAATACCAGATTCCTATCCAGTTGCTGAGTCGAAAGGCATGCCACTTATCCATTGAAATATCTATTCAACTCATGTTGATAATGATTCCATGAACACAATGAGATACAAAATACTGACTTCCTCAACTGTCGGACCGATACATTGCTGCTATGAGCTTGAAGCCTCATCACTTGCCTGACCTTCACAATGGTAGAACCATCCCATGAATCTACTCCCATTCCTAAACTGGGGCAGAACCATGAAGAATGATCCTCGAAACACACTGACCACGAACTTAACCCAAAACCGAACCATATGATGAACCCAAAATCCCAACAACCTTTGACTCTTTGCTATGCTAATACAAACCACTACTTCGTCGAGCAACGACAGTCAAACCAGGAACTTCTGTGATACATCTAACCCTTACCAGATCCGTTGCACCCCCACCTGAGCATCCACTCAATATAATCACCAAGAACTTATGACCTACGACTGCATAAACAATTTCCAACTCGAAAATCACAAATCCTACAATAGCCTGCAAACAACTAAATTTATAATGCGTACAACTTGACGAGACTTTCTGATACCTAGCTGATACTTCCCTCAATCCTTATGGCTTCCCTTATCCAACCAACATATTTACGAATCATCCGACCCCCATCAACGCGTCAATACCGAAAGAACTACTAGCAGAAGAAATGAACCATCATGATCACTAGGCACACAACCTATGAGTGGAATGCTCCCGATAACCTACCGACACTGCCATCCTCGCATCGTTGGCTTAACACTCAGGGCCTGAAGATACTCACCTCATTCCATCACCTTGAAGGGACCTAAACAACTCCCTTACAATGCCAACCAAGCACCACAAAACAACTACCAAGAGAAGCTTTACGAAAACAAAGTCGCACACAATCCGCGGACAGGATAAAGGTTTCCTTCTTAGTCAAATTTGGAAGCTAAAACCCAAGGAACCATGCACATAATTCGAACCAAAATCCCTAATGCCATCTTGCCTAGTTTACATGGAACACCCCCATACACATACTTAGGAAACCCATAATCTCATCCAAAGACAAAAGAAATACCAGAGATAATCAAAATTTCACCTTAATCAAAACAGAAAACATCTTAATGATCGCTCAAATCAAGATTCCATCCTTGATTGAGACTGAACGGACTCCACCACTAGCTTGAGAAAACTTCCAAGATAATCCTGAAGGCCACCAAAATCGGATTCTACCATGAACCAAGCTCCCACTCTACCACCGAGGGTAAACACACTTAAAGACCGAAGGAAAATATAATATATAGAATAGGAGGGTAGCTGATGCATTCCTCGACCATTAACTGGCACCACTTAAATCCTTCGAAGAATTCCCGATGAATAAGGAACTCAATGACCAATGGTCTCAAATACCTTGACACATAAACCAGAGAAACCACAACCTACCTGAACCTGAACATTCCTGCTTCTGAAAAGGGTTCACCAACCAACATCTGCCCAACAAATCTGAAAGCATCAAACCAAACACCAAACTGATGGAACCCTTAATGACTGACGTTCAACCTGGGAATCCTAATTCTCCCTCACTTAGAATTCGAACCACTGCCCACTGGAGATGAAACAAAACGTAACCCAAGAAGCCCATCCAGGTACAACCATACCTGACCATGAAACGAATATCACCTGCTGAATGGTCCTCCAAGTACGGATCAAAGAACCCCATGAGAAACCTGAAGTATAGATGAGAACCTCATAACTTCCCATAATAACCACTTACAAAGCAAAGGCAACTACCGATTTACGATCCAACATACGCCCCTGCATGCCTCCCACACAACAATGCGGCACTTAAATCCCATATGTGATTTCCAAGCCGATCATAGCAACCGCTTCCTCCCCGTGTCTCGAGGCTCGAGGCAAGGTATCTAACAAAACCCTTGAGACTTCCAATCAACATACTAATCTGGATCTGAACCACTCAACCCACATCATTTTCACCATTAGGGCATGAACAAACATAAAACACATCCTCACCTGAGCAACCCAAGCCAAAAGATCGACATATATGGAACCACTACCTCAAACCGTGGTATCCAACCATGCTATCTTCCCTAATTAGTCCTTAAAATCTCCAAAATTCTCCTCGATCTAAGTATGGATCCTGTGCTTCCAGTAGTATAGACCCAATACTGCCTGTCACACCTATCCATACTCCCCTCAAGAATCATATCGGGTCCTCTAAGACCTAGTCACAAAATATTCCTGAAACCTGCTCAATAGCGAAGAAACTTCACTAGAATACTCCTAAGGCTATCCCAGGTATCTACACTTCTCTTCCATCGACTGCTGAAGAACTTTTCAGAATGTCAATTAGCCATTCCATGAATACAATCACATGCAACAAAGCTCAGATAATAATTTGAGTAACAGACTCATCCTTACAATGGTTGGACTCAGACAAGAGTTGTGCAGCAAGGTCAAATCTACCACTCTGAGGGTACCCAACCTTTTTCACACGTGACTTGACATATTCACTTAATGGCTAATTCACATCCCTCATGAGTTCCACAAAGCATAAAGCAATCAACATTCGTGCAGAGGATTCGACTGACACTAAAATACAATAAGATTTGACAAATCCTCCTATGAAATGCTAGATCTCAGACTCCCATCATCTTGCACGCATATTCTCCCTGCCCTCACTCTCCTAAGAGTGATAATCCTTACTCATGCCGACACGCTATGAACAATGCAGAAACCAGGGAAACCACCGCTACCTCATCCAATAATGCGACTGGCTGGCAGACCCCATACGACTTACCATACTACCTTTGCCTCACGACTCTCCAATGGTGCCAGACGGATATCACATGAATACAGTCACATGCCCCATAATTTAAACAATCTTAGGCCAAAAGATTCAATCCCACAACGGTTGGACTCAGATAAGAGCTGCGAAGCAAGACCAAACCCCTTAGCTTAAGATAATTTAAACCATGTAGCATGTGACTTAGCATATCCATTCAATAGCCAGTTCACACACAAAAGAGTCACACAACAGCCAAACAAGGGAACTCTATAGAAACTAAGTCATCACATAATCAGGAAATTCTATCATACGATTCCTAAAGATCCATTTCCTATCACTAGCATGTTGTTCTAACATATCACAATATCAAATAACAATATGGTATTTTGGGGTCTACTTATTAGCTTTGGCTGATCGTACACATCATATCCTCCTTAAGTATCTTGAAAACCATTTTTAAAAAATCATTTTGAAAACCTTTTACCTTAGTCTGAGACTGGATTCACATGAATGTTCCTCAAATTCACTAAAACCAAGGCTCTGATACCAACTTGTAACGTCCCAAAAATTTCATAAAATTTAAACTTTTCAAAACAACCTTGTTTTCAATAGAAATGTTTACAAAACCGTTGTTCTCAAAATGTTACTTTAAAAATCAGAATCTCTTTCATCATAGCTTTCAAAACATTCACATTATCAGAGTTTCCCAGAAATCATAAGTCCAAAGCGTGAGGATATGTACAGTCACACCTTCACCTTGCCACGATCTACTAAGTACCTGAAACAATAAACTAAAACTGTACGCATGAATCTTAGTGAGTTCCCCTAAAGTACCAACACCCAAACAGATAACATATATAAACAACAACATGTATACTGAGACTTCAGTATGTCTGGACCGCCTCACCGAGCCTACAACCTGTATGGACCGCCACCGAGCCTTCAGCATGAATGGAATGCCTCACAAGGCCTACAGCCTATCTGGACCGCTCCCGAGCCTTCAGCATGACTAGACGGCCTCGTAAGGCTTACAATCTATTTGGACCGCTCATCGGGCCTTCGGCCTGATTGAACCGCCTCATAAGCCTTCAGTCTATCTAGCCCCCTGGGTTTGCTAGCCTTCGAGACACAACAGGTGCGCCTCAACCCAACCACACACACATGTCAACATATATAAAGCAATTAGACACACAAAACAGTCAACGGACAAACATGCAGATTTTACAGATCACTAATCATGGCATCATCCTATCTACTAGGATACCGATCTAACAAATCATAACAACACTCAATCATAAGATAAACCAGAATAACAATCCAACAGGGCCAACAAAGGTGCCTTCGACCCATAAGTCTAGTGAGGAAAACTCATCTCGAATGATGAAGCTTACTACACGAAATCCCTAGCTGCTACCCTAATGATTTCCCAAACTAATAATTACCAAAACAACATCTAATTAGCAACTGAATTCCAAACCATGATCCATAAACCAACCCTGAGGTAAATTTTCCATTTTACCCCTGGCCCATCAAGACTCATAACTAAGGCCCAAGCCCAAAACCAACCAGTCCCAAAACTTTAAGATCCATAAAAGCCCATTACTTGCCTGATTTTCCAAATTGGGCCCAACCCCATATGGGCCTTACTCGAAATCCCAACAATTCCTAGTCCAAAATAATTCATCGATGGCCCAAAGGTCCAAGCCCATTGGGCCCACTAAATTCCAAAACCATTGGGCCCACCAAGGCCTAATATAATATCTTGGCCTAACTAGACATGTCTAAAAAAAAGTCCAAAACTCTAAGAACCCTCTGACCAAAAAGCCCAACACGCTAAAACTCCAATATAAGTCCAAAGCTCAATATGAATAAGCATAAGAAGCCCACTGTTGGACCAAACATTAGGCGTTCCCATGTGGAACGCTGAGCGTTCGTTACTCGACTGCTGATCGTGACTCTATGCCGGAACGCATGGCATTCCCAAGATGAACGCATTGTGTTCCCGAATATGGACCAAAATTACATTCATGTCTTAACCCCATAAGTCCAAAGTTGAAATCTTCAAAATAGCTTCCTATTAGAGTCTTAAGCCATAAAGTCATCATCTTGGCACCTTTGCATGGCCCAAAAAGGACCTAAACATCCATTAAATCTTCCAATCCATAATTTAAGACCCATAACCTTTGCATGGTTGGTCCACAACCATCAAGTTACTATTTTTATGACCCTAACAACTCAGAAATGCGTGGTTCTATAATCCTAGGCTTTTGGAGTGGCTCAAACTCCTAAAGAGTTTCCACATGATCATAAGAAGCACAAAAGAAGCCATAATGTAGATCTTAAGTTATAAGATAGCAAGATAGAAACTTTATACCTTCTGACACCAGCAAATGAGCTGGAGAGCCTGGATCCAAAAGTTCTTCCTTTATCAATGAGGCTTCAAGGTGATCACTCTCCTTCAACAACACCAAAATACACCCAAAGATGGTCTTCCAAGATCACACACTCACAATTAGGGTTAGGGTTTGGAAATGAGGCTTAAGGTACAATAGAGGTTGAAAGAATGAAGAGCCTTAGGTCTTGAGCTGTTTAAATAGTGCACACTTAAGGTTTTTGAGTGCAGACGATGAAGTCCCTGTGTTCCTCCCTGGAACGCCTCGCACTCGACTTAGCCTTTGTGCCCACTTTATATACTGAACACTAAGCATTCAAGATATGAACGCCCCACGTTCGG